TCTATGGTCGGCCTGCGAATTTTGGGCTACCGATATCCACGCTGAAAATTCCATACTTGTACCAAAAATACAGTGTGGAATCAAGCTGTAATCAAAAATAAAAAAAAGTAAAATATATAACGAAATTATATACATTGTATCTTCAAATCAGCATTTGCACAGATCTGTATTGTATTACTTCCGTCCTTTATATTGTGTTTTTGTGTGTTCCTTTCGCGTGTCCTATGTTTCTCCTCAACGCTGAACCATTTGAGTTCTCTGACTTCAAATTTGTAGGGCTTGTTACTACTTAAGTGAGGTCTATATATGCGTCTGTGGATGCTGGAGTACGTGTTTGATTGATCAGCTTTCTACCACCGGTACAAGAAACTTTATTTCTACACGTACTAAATGAAAATTTATTTCATAAAGTTTCAAACTGTAATCACTTCACATTTCTTTATGATATCTATTTGAGTTTTCTTCAAACTAACTTATTTCATTTAGGTTACTAATCAATATCCTAAGTACTCATAGTGAGATAAGCTAACAACTTTGTTTTGTGAACTGTGTGATTGTCTCTGTCTGCCTGTCTATCTGACAACAACACTATCTGTAAGCGTTACTAGCTTATCACCATAACTATAAATGCTATTTCTCTGCATAATTATTTTATTTCAAGGTGAGAAATAACAACAGATAAACACACACACACACACACACAGAAAAAAGATGAAAACCTTGATAAATAAATGAAATATTGGTTACCGGTATCCTTGTTGAAACTCCGTCAATCACCAGTGTATTTAAGGTTTTTTGGTAGGGTTAATCTAAAGTATTCAAATCATCATATTACTGGTTTATTCAATCTACTGAAAATAATAGAGTCCAATATTTAGAAGAAACATATTATTATGCATATATATATATATATATCATTCAAATATATTTTAATTTTAAGACACATTTTCACACAAACTGATAACAATAGTAACATCACACAGAATAGATGAATACAGCTGTATGAAGCACAATCGATAATCAAATTCAAGTACATATTCACATCTCAGGTTTGATAGCATACTGATGACAGTTGGAGAACTGTTGTAGACTAAGGAGTAGTGGATAACCGTTTCGTCCTAGTTTGGTACTCATCAACAGTAAGCACCCACCACAGATGTTCTAACCGAGGACACTCCGGTTACAAGTCAAACTCGTAGACCATTCAGTCACTGGGACCCAACTCACAGGCTAGTCAAATAGTTCTAACTACTAGCGGTTCGTGATTTCAGCGCCACTATCAGCCAGTGTCACGGGTGAGTATTTGATCTCACTCCCGAACTGGTGGACCTCACTGGTCACGACTTCTCACTGGAACTCCAGGCAAATGTATCCTGCTGGAGGTCACTGGCGATCACACTAAAATCCCAAATTGGTGGAAGTTAGAATCATGAACCAGTGAGTCAGGTCGTAGTGACTGAATGATCTACGAGCTTGACTTGTTACCGGACGGTGGTGGGTTTGAAACCAGGTTGATGAATACTGCTGATGAATCCCAATTAGAACGAAAAAAAATTTCCAGTACTCCCTGGTATTCAATGGTTCTCTAACTGATATCAATCGATGATCAGGCCTGAAATAAAGTAAAATCCCCACAAATAAAATATATTCATATACTAGTTCATCTATTTATCCCCCGAACTGTATACTCAACTCACTATATTGTTTTAATGCTAATGAATTAAGATGATTTAAAGTATTAGTCATTAACAAAAGAGATTATCATTCATCAATATTGAGACGTGCGCTACCTACACAAACTGACAGTAGTATATAGTGAAATGTCTTCTGTAAAAGATATGAAGAGAGAAATGATCAATGAAATTGCAAATCAGAGAAATGAAGACAAATGACTATCAATATAGAGGCATGAAGTGATCTGAAGGAAGTGTAAATGAATCACAGAAGCAGTACACTATTTACTGTTCCACTTACTCTAGCTGGTGTTCCTCAGGGAGATGTTCTTTCTCCTTTTCTGTTTTCCTTCTTCTTACACGACTTGTCCCATTCTATCAAAGCCAATTTTGTTAAGTGTGCCGATGACCTGACTTTTTCTGTGCCTGTCACTTCTCAGTCAGACTATTCTAAAATGAAAGACCTTTTATCACAAATTAGTCAGCAGTCCTCGTCAAATGATCTTAAGCTGAATCCCTCCAAATGTCAGGTGGTTAATTTCACTTTCAGACATGCAAGCGCGACTTACATCAACTGGTTAGTTCCCCCGGTTCCACTTTGATAGATGGTACTGAAGCTGAAACCGAATCCAATGTTAAATACCTTCGACTGTGTATTTCCTCTGATCACCTTTCCTGGTCTTCCTGTATAATTTGAATAAGGCATTTAGAAGACAAATTTCGCGAGGTGATATCATTTCATAGTTTCTTCACAACCACTCTACAACTAACATGGTTAACAATAATAAAATAAAGTTCATGATAATTACTCAGTTAAATAAAAAACAAAAGTACATACTGAATTAAATTTTTGATTTTCCCGTCGACTGATTGGACCGAAGTGCTCGGTCTCAGGTTGACATGTCGGCTTCTTGTGTAGATGCCTCGATGATGTCTGGCCATTTAATTGCACAAGAGGTGGCTCTCGTGGCCCAAGTGGTCTAGTGGATAACGCTTTGGCGTTTGAAACTATGGGCACTGGGTTCGAGCCTCAGTGGGAACATCATCACTCACTGAGAAATGCAGGTGCATCCAGCTGACGAGTCCCAAATAGGACGAAATGCGCATCCTGGATTCCACTGCTAGCCACTATCCACCAATTGTATACTAAAAGTACATACTATTTAACTGAGTAATTGTCATGAACTTTATCTTATTATTGTTAACCATGTTAGTTGTAAAGCGGTTGTAAAGAAACTACGAAATGTTGATATCATCTCATGATATTTGTCTTCTTAATGCCTTATTCAAATTTATCAAAGGGACTAATTGTTTTGATCTTTCCATATTATGTTAATATCGAGAGAGATATGTGGTTTGACGTTTTATGTAAGGGAGTTAAGACGATCTAGTATCATTCCGTCTTTACTGTTATCGTTTGTTAATCTTTGTGTTCTGCCTATACTTCTTTACTATTCGCTATTAATCTTTGCCAGGCAACTAAATAAAGACTAAGAAGGGCACTAAAAGCTGTCAGTAGGGAAAGTGTGGTGCTGCTAAACCAACTCGTTAATACTACTGTAGATAGACATTTGGATTCCTGCAAGAAATTAGCGAATGTTATCCCCTCCGTACACAACTTTCTCATTGCATCACATCGGTTAGAACCAGAAGCAACTATAGAAGACTGAATGCTTGGACGACTAAGTAAAAAAAACTTTACAATACCTTATTTAGTACGCATCTTATGTGATGAGCAGATTGTAAATCAGGAAATTTCCAACTTACTAAGGAACTTTAAGTAAACAGCATTGTTTTTTGTTCTCGTTAATACATTGTCACCGATATTTTCATTTGATTTGATATTATATTCACTCCTTATTGAACAATATTGTTAATTTAAATGTCCTATTTTAATTATTGCCCCTGTTATGAGAAAATTAGATGCAATATTGTATTACATGCTGAAAATTCCATATCTGTACCAAAAGTACTGTCTGCCTGGAATAAAGCTATTATTACTAAGGAGGTGGAATACGAATAGCCTAGTGTAACACTGTCAGATCCTATCAAATTGTCTATGCAATTTGCCTAGTAATCAATTCTACATCAGTTTCCATTGTGTTCAGCAGTATGATAGTACGCTTAAAAGTAGGCTGATGCATTCTTATTTAGACTGAAACAGGTATGTTGTTGATTGAAGGAAAACGAATTTCATTCTGAAGGGGTTCCATATAGAAAGTATCCAGAAGAGTCTTCTTTAATAAACAGAGAAGAAGACATCTGTACCACAATAAACCAACCAACAGATCTAGTGAAGTCAGTGTCTGCTGGCTTTTCAGCTATACAATTCCATGGTGATTGAATGGTAATGTGCTTTTCATTAAATTGTCAATGAATCAAGCAATCGAACTATGAAATGCACCAGTTCTACAAAGCTAATTATTAACTTTTTCAAGTCGGGATTTGATTAGTTACATGATTTCATCATGAACTGACATCAGTTAGAGAACCACTGGAAAACCTGCAGGGATTACTGGACAGCTGTTTTGTCCTAGTTTGGAACAGTTCATCAGTACGCACCCACCAGCGGGGGTCGAATCCAGGACCTTTTTGTTACAAGGCTAGCGACCTCGTAGACCATTAAGCCACTGGGACCCGATCCAGTGGCTAGCCCATGAATTCTGACTTCTACCAATTCAAGACATAGTGCGACCGCTAGCCAGTGTCTTCGGTGGGTATTTATCCTCACACCAGAACTGCTACACCCTACAGTTAAGCTTCATTTACATAACCTAATTCTAGTCAGTTTGTAGTATTGATTAGCTTGACTGCTTTCCAGTTGTTTATATCAGTTAGCTTATCACATTTGTGTCTCTTTATTAATCAGTATGAAGTGACATACATACACCTATTAGGACTGCTGTCAAAATTACTTAGTTTGTTGAGATAAAGGTTGATAATCACGTCCACCTTATGCTCCTTCTTCCCATAGGAGTATTTCCTATCAATAGAATGAATTGAATTACCTTTTAATCGAACTGCAAAGTAGTAGTAACACTTTTTATAAAAGATGAATCGATGCGTATTTCAAAATAGAGGCGATCAAAATGACTGTGGATCTACTTCACTGAAGCTTCTTGCCTGTTACAATCAAGCAGAAATTGAACCAGTCACTTCCTCACTTGGAATAATACCGTGTAAAGGATACTAAATTCCTCATATTCCTTCATTGATTTCAGGTGACCTAATGTTTATTCACCTCTTGTTTCCATTGGTGTATATAAATTAAATAATTAGAACGGTGAAACACTGTCACTTTCTTTTGTTATGTTTATTTCTACACAGATGTATTGAATGTGGGGACAATTTGTGTGAGCCATGCGCACAAGCTCATAAACGAACTAGAATAACACGATTGCACACTTTGCTTTCATACGAGGTAAGTTTAAACCAATCTTTTCATAGAATTATTGAATCACATTAGCCATGATATCGCCACTTTACTAAATTCTTTATTACCTGATAGCCGTTAATAGTACTTTTATTTTAAGCCCAACCACCGTTATTATTTCACCATCATTACCATTTTTATTCGTCATTCTTGAACTTAAGTCTAGTCTGTGGTATTCACATTGTCTCACGCACACTACTGACTATACTCACCCTTGAAACCTGTACTTTTGTTGACTATATCCATACATACACACACATCATCTCATTTTATTTCATGTTCTTGTTGACCATACATATACTAACTGACTACTATTCCATCTTGTACTTGTTCCCCAGTAGGGCTATCTGGTATAATTCTAATTTGACCTCATTGAGTATTGTATACTGTAATTGGTGGGTTTACAATTGCAGAGTATGAAGAAGAATTTATTGAAAGCGTTGTGCTTTCGCTCTAATTATTTTTGTTCTGAATATTTTTGTTATTGTGACATAAACTTAAGCTGGGGAATTTTGATAAATTTGGTTAGAAAGGTCATTTTGGTTACTGACAAAAATCTAATTTGAGATCAGTCAAACCTCTGCAAAACATACTATCCGTTTACAGTTCAATGTTGATTAGTTGTTGAACATACGGACTGACTTTTCAGAGTTCAAGTAGAAATTTATTAATCTACAGAGTCAGGAGAAGTAAGATGACACTGGTGGATATTGGTGGCTGTCTATAGCAAATTAATATTAACGACCCTTCACTCATCTTATTACATTTGAATATGGCAAATTCACACTCACTTAATCCTCCTATCATCTGTTTAGGCATGTCTGCTGAACTCTGTGTTGACCTTTCTTTATTCATTCATATGTCTAGTCAGTTTGTGAATCATAATCATCTATACTAATATTATGGCACTCTAGTGTCTCCGTTGCCTGTTAAATCCTTACACACACACACACATGCAACACTAAAACTACTTGTTTTTTTCTACTGTAATTCAAATATAAATATGATTATGGTGCTATGAAAATGAGATGTTTGAAAGGAGAATTTCCCTCTTTGAAGTCTTTGTTTTAAATTAGCAGAAGTTGAAAACCTCTGAATAGAAAAGATTTCAACTAACTGGTGTTTCGATAAGAAAGTTGTCTTGAAAAATAACCTTTTAGCGTCCATCTTCCCATTGCATCACTGGTGAAACCATGGTATGGTAGCTGTATAGTTCTGTCTGACTTTTAATGGTTGTCTAGACGGTGTTGATTAGTACTGAGATCTTTCTTGAGATGAATTGTACCTTCTAAAGTTTATCCACTGGGTTATAGGAGTTTCAACGGCTTTGATAGTAATTGTATTACAAAGAATCCTTATGAGAACATCATTGCCCCAATTAGAATACAATAAAATCAAACCTAACATATGGTAATTGCTCCGTTCCTCTTTAGGGATTGACTATAGCACGAATATTCTAGAGATCTTATGAGAAATAGTTACCTGTGAGGTACACTAATTTTAGTATGAGTGTAACTGATAGGATACTAGAGCCAAACAAGATGGCTGAATGCTGACATGTTCAGCCTGTGACTCAAAGGTTCAGGGTTCACCTCCCCGGCTGTGTCACGGGCATTTGCCACCGAAGAGTTCTAAACTAGAACGCAACAGATGTTTGAACTTTAATGGTTGTATAGCTGATGTCACTTCGTAATGAAATTCACCTTAAAATTGACCAAATTCCCAAGAAATCAAACATTCAGAAATTAAGGGATAAACTTATTTTGTCGGTGTATATGCTTTTTGAAGCTTTGGGTAGAAAGTAGTTCAAGTTTATTTTTGTGTTCAAGAAAGCATGTTGCTGACTCAAATTTGCCTTAGTAATTTGACTTTAAAGCAAAGAATTATTTATAATTCTGACCACTAAATAATCAACTTGACCTCCAAATATTTTTGACTTTCTAACCTCTTGTAAGATTCTTATGAATGTAAATGATTAGATTATATGTTAAACATAACGCTTTTCAATATAAATTATATCTTATAGTCCTTTTAAGATTCACAAAGAAAATTAATTACATTTATAAAACTTACTGCATACAAAATATTTAAGGTCATTACTCAGGAGAATTGAATAATGTATAAGAAAGGTGACTTGACAAAGAGATGTATAAAACATATAAAGAAAGGGTCAGGTTCCGATAAGGATTTGATATTTCTCAACTACTGACCTCTTAGTTTACAGGGTTAGTTGACCTAAATTGTATTAGAGTTGACTGGTCGATTGATTTACCAATATAGTCGTACAATGAGTGTCTTAACATCATAATATCTTAGAGAAAAATAGAAGTGGAGGAAGACAGTGTACTGAAACAGAAATGCCACACAGACACTCATGAAGAGTCTATACTAGGAGTCAGAATATAAAAAGAAGGCAACTATCCAACTCCACTCAGTTAACGGGAAGAAAAATTGACCTAAACAAAGTAATAACTTATCCCCGTTGCTCTCGTGGCCCAATCGGTCTAGTAGATAACAAACGCTTTGGTGCTTGAAATGAGTCTCAGTGGAAACACTACAACTCTCTGGAGTAAACAAGTTCATGCAGTGATAAGTCTCAGATAAGACGAAAAGTGCATCCTGCATTCAACTACTAATCACCATTCACTACTTAACATGAAAGACACTCTTCATACATCATTGAGGCGAACATACTAGCAGCCAACATATCAACAGAAACCGAACATTTCGGTGTATTTTGTTTATTGAAAGAGTAAGGAGTTTGGAATACTATCACACACACGACTTCAGTTATCTTCTCTATGGGTACACCAGTAAACAATGATCAAGTATCATATAGTAGTAGGCATGTAGCTGAAATACTTTGATTATACACTAGTGACTAGTGTGATGTGTCTAGTCCTTTGCTTGGTGCAGATAGAATTCTGTCAGCCAGGTTTGCAATGTGTCCACCGTTCTAGGTAGAAGGGAAATAAGCTCTTTAAAGATTTCAGATACACCCAGCTGACGAGTGCCAGCTGGCACGAAACCTAGGCTCGAGGATTCCTGGTGACTGCATCCAACCATCTGACATCAACAATGCAGCCGAAATATCTAAGTGATGTAGTCCACATGAATAATTAAGTGAACATTCGAGACTGTTAAATGCAACTTTATTTGGATGGCTTCCAATTTTTCGCGAACCATTTAGCCAGCTTATAATTTGGTAATTTCATCACTAATATTATCGTTTTATGGAGCAAATTGAATCTGCAGACCTTGGATATACCAAACATGAACGGTAGGCTTAAACCTCTTGGATCATGGTAACTATAGGTCTCATTGTTAGCTAACTCTTTGTTATGGAGCTTTTCATGATGCTTTTCGCTTTGTTTACAAAAGCTGATGTTGCATTGATTTCCTAGCCGACTTATATGGAATCTCACTGTAAGACTTAAAACTGTCGGCATTTCATAAAAAAGACATTTATGCTGATTCCTTAGTATAACACCACTAACCTTATCTGTCGCAAGTATAACAACTTTATTAATGTTCTCTGGGTTTCTAACTTTGATTATTGCTTTATAGAGTGAAAACTTTGATTAAGTTATTGGAGAAATGTTGTATTGTTCTTCGACCAAAAGTTTAAAGTCAGATAGTTGTATATATATAATTCCTCTGGGTTCCCAGTGGAACATATGTCTTCAAGCTAGAGGTTTGAAGTTTCTGTAGCAGTGATATTTATTTTTACAGGATGGGTTGGCTATCCATAAGCCCAACCTTCCCTCCTCATCAGTTTTATCACTGGCTTAGCGAGGTAAAATAGTGCGCCGGTGGCCGGGGATCGAATCCCAGACCATCTGCATGAATGGCGATCATTCTGCCGCTGTGCCACCGACGCATGTATATATATATATATATTCTGGTGATGAATGCCTCACTTATATCTTTCATACAGAGCTTCTCTTTCAATCTTGTTTAAATTTATATTCGATAGATTATGCATTTATTTTTCATCCGAGAATCTTCATATATGTTCTCTACTACTAAGAATTTGTTAGTCTTGCTTGTAAAAAGAACCACTTGCCACCTGGGCAAGTTCTTTAAACTGCACTCTCAATACTTCTACAAATCTTTACTTATTTAGAACAAAATATTTAGAGCGAACAATTGTTTTCAATAAATTCTTCTTCAGGCTCTACAATTATAAATCCATTAATGTAAGCATACAATAGCCAGTAAAGGCGAATTAGAATCATATCAGAAAGTGTATTGTGGAACAAGTATAAGATGGGATGAAACAATAGTCATATAGTCATATAGTTTTTTAATATGCATGGTCAATAACAACATGGGACAGAATGAGATGAAATAATTTAATTAATGTGTGTATATATATAAATATAGTTGACAGAAAATACAGGTTTCAAGAGTGAGTGTAATCAGGGTGTGTGAGGCAATATGAAAATAAACCAACGAATGGGGCGGTCTAGACTTAAGTTCAAGGTTGAAAATAACAACAATAAGAATGATTGTAAAATAATAACGATGATATGGTGTAAAATTAAAATTAAATGTACTATTGGTGAATGATTGTCAAATAATAATAATGAATATAATGAAGTGGAATGAACAGGATTTTGTAAATACGATAGTAAGTTAGAAAAGCACTATTTAAACCTAAGGTAATAAAATCATAAGAAAGGTCATGAAATCATAAAAGTCGAAAATGAACGTTTGTCAATGAAACAGAGGAATAGAAGAAGGAAAAGAAAAGAAAATCGTGAAAGGAATTTATAGTGTTAATGGAGGATTTGTTGGCTTTATTGTAGGCCAAGGTAAACATAGAGGTTGAACATACTTCTTCTGTATGCAGAGGGATGGTCTTCTGGTATTAATTGCAACTGCTTCAGCTACTGATAGAAGACGTAGTCGAGCTCCTCTAGATAAATTACTAGGAACGCGGTAAATAACTGAGAACGCTTGGTCAAGTTTTATCGGGTGTCCAGTATCTACCAAGTGGGCTAAGACTGCACTATTTATGCCTTTGGTTACTCCTTTACTCAACCATACAGGTACATGTTCACGTGCGCGCATGGATAAAGCCCTCTGAGTACGGCCAATATAACTAGCTCCACATGAGCAGTTGAATTCGTAGATGCACATTGATGAGGCCATCTTTGGTAATTTATCCTTTACTTGCTGTGTGAGTACTGGTTTAGTTGAGAAGTTTAGTACCAATTTAGCTGCGGGAAATGTTCTATCTATTGCTCTATTGAGTCGACACTTTAGAATGTCAGCTGCAATTTCCCCTTTGTAACTTAACTTAAGATACAAAGGTTTCTTGTCTACGGTATCCACCTTTACCCTGTCTATAGGTATTGACATATACTTTCTTAGGAAGCTCTGTGGATATCCATTTTCTTGCAGTGTGAGTTTTAGTTTATGCATTTCTTCCTTAATGCATTCCTCTGAGCATATTCGTTTTATTCTGTAGCTAAGACACTTAACTAAGTTTCTTTTATGCTGAATCGGTGTGAAACTATGGAAATGGGTGTACTGACCCGTCCAAGTTTTCTTTCTAAATAATTTCCTTTGTAGATATCCGTCTGTCTTCATGGTAAGTAGGACGTCTAGGAAAGGTAAACTGTTATTGTCTTCTTCTTCACATGTAAACTGAATAGTTGGGTGAACACTATTAACGGTATTCAGAAGCTCTTGTTTATTAAGATTTCTATTACAAACGATAAACGTATCATCTACGTATCGACAATAATAGTCAAACCCTTTAATCGTGTCTTTGAGTGGACCATTTTCAAGCTTTGCCAGGAAAATATCCGCTAGCAAAGGGCCCAAAGGTGATCCCATGGCTACCCCATCAACTTGTCTATAAAAACCATTATTGAACATAAACTGAACATTCATAGTGCACTTCAATAATAATTCTTTGACCTTTTCGGGTGGGATTCCTACATCTATTTTCTTTTCTATCAGCTGGTCACATATGTAGTTGACTGTTTCAAGCAGTGGGACATTGGTGAATAATGATGCTACATCCAGTGACATCATTTTCTTTCCCTTTACATTCAAGCTTTTGGTAGTTTCCACAAAGCTGAATACGTCTTTTACACTGAATGTCACTACTTCTCGATGTCGCTACGAATAAAAGAAATTTGAAGTTTCCTTCTGTTACTTATCCAGGTAGCATCGTTTTAGGTACAGGCGGCACGTATGAAGACGTCGAAGCCAGTGTAGAAATCTGCTGCACCTAGCAAAAACAACAAGACTCGGATTTCCAAAACTCATGTCATGCGCATCCTGGATTCCACTGCTAGTCACCATCCACCAATTGTATCCTAACTAAATGCCCAGACATCGTCGAAGCATCTGCACAAGAAGCCGACATGTCAACCTGAGACCGAGCACTTCGGTCCAATCAATCGACGGGAAAATCAAAAAATCCAATTCAATAATTAATATGACCCGTTGCACAAGAGGTGGCTCTCGTGGCCCAAGTGGTCTAGTGGATAACGCCTTGGCGTTCGAAACTATGGGTACTGAGTTCGAGCCTCGGTGGGAAACACCATCACTCACTGAGAAATGCAGGTACATCCAGCTGACGAGTCCCAAATAGGACGAAATGCGCATCCTGGATTCCACTACTAGTCACCATCCACCAATTGTATCATGTCAAATCAGTTCTTATATAAGTTTCACAGATTAGGAAAGTGGCCTAAAGCATTATTGAACAGGCTATAAACTTTAATCAACAGCTACCTTAGATCTACACTGAAAATCGGTTGGCCAGAAATGATTGGGAACAAAGCACCAACATGAAACCTGTTCTCCAAAAAAATATGGCGAAGAAAATACAGATAGATGGGACCCATTCTGAGGAAACCTTTGTGTGACAATGCTCCAGGCCTTCGAGTAGAACCCGAATCAGATATAATGAGGTGAGTGTCAGAAGGCGATAAGGAGGAGAACATGTAAAGGGGAGATGAAAGCCGATGGTCAGTCGTGTAGCCTGTGCGTCGGTGGCACAGTGGTTAGGACTCTCGCCGACCATGCACATGGTCCGGGATTCGAGCCAACGCCGGCGCACACCTGATATCTATGGTCGGCCTGCAAAATTTGGGCTACCGATATCCATGCTGAAAATTCCATACTTGTACCAAAAATACAGTGTGGAATCAAGCTGTAAATCAAAAATCAAAAAAAAAAAATCAAAAAAAAAATAAAGATCAGTGTGGAGAACAGGATGAAATGGTGTTGTAAGGTTGAAGCCTTTTGTTCCACTTGGAACTTAATGCGTAATTGGTAACTCAGATGAGAGAGAGAGATCTCATCTTAGGATCTATTTACCTTTAAGCTCAAAGCTGACAGACGGTTGAATATTTTGATAAATTTCGCCTGGAAAATGTAAGGTGATATGAGGTATTATCTATTACTAGATAGCGTTCTGAACTGAATTTATTACTCATACTCATATAAAACATAACTATAGAAGAATAGAATAATACGTGACTGCGTACTACCACAGCGTTCAAATTTAATGGACGTGTTAATTCGGCTTGGATTTACCAAGTCAAACTGGATAAACATATAAATGAAAGTTAATAAATAAAACAGTGGGAGATTTAACAGGAAGAGGAGGGGAGTCATTATAGCATTATTGTCAGAGGTAAAATTAGATAAACATAGGTCAGGTACAATGTTAAATGGCTTTTACACATAATTTGGATTTGAACTTACAAATGTAAATCTCAGCATGCATCACCAGCTATGTCTGTATGGAATTCTAACTGCTATTCTAACCTTATTCATGTTCATTTCTTTATAGTGTGCTAGGTTAGAGGTTAAGAAAGTTGTGTATTAAATGTGCCCCTTTTAGGAATTCGGAGATCAACTATTCTTCAGGCAATTTACATGCACTTTTCCTCACTCTCTTATTTACACAAGTGATGTTACATGACATAAGAATTGCTTATACTGTGAAGCATTTTATGAATCCAATAAGATCATAGTGTAAGTAATTCTAAATTCCAGCGGAGTGTGATCCGTCATCGTTGGGGTTTTCCCTCAATAGGCGTCAACATCATAGTAAACTATGTGTGGTTTGTTGGATAAGTGCTATGAACGTTTTCGATAGACTTCAGTGTTTTTTAGCACTGAAACTAGTGAAGAAGCGGTCAGGCTACGATGTGGACATTCATCATTTTTTAACATTTGTGTGTGTCCTGTGACTCCTTATGATAGGATCTGAGAGGCGGCATGGCACAGTAACTTGATATGTAGTCAGATGTGTTTCGGAATCGGAATAATTAGCGAGAAATTTGCGGTTTCCTTCTTTCTTCTACTGCTGAAAGTAAGTAAAGAAAATGACATTCTTTTGATAGCCCTCAGTAGAAACTATACTCAACTTCTTTATTCTGCTATCCTACAGATGTTCCCCACACAAAAACTTGGAGGATATGGACTTCGCCGATGATATATGTCTGATTTCCCACAAACTGGAATATATGCAAGTGAAAAGCAACAAGTTGGCAAAAGAAGCATCAAGGATAGGACACCATTCAGGTGAACATAGAGAAAACAGACGTGATGAAGATTCTTGGCCAACACCAACAGCAACAATAGACAACAATCAGCCATCATAAATGGGAGGAACCTGAAAGAAACAACCTCCTTTGCCCACCTACCTGGGAAACATCGTTTCAACTACAGGCGAAACTGACGAGAATATCAAAGCAGCGAGGATCGGGAAAGCAAGACAAGCTTTCATTACTCTCAAGTCTGTGTGGAGGTCAACAGCATTTAGCATCAAAAATAAGATCCGGATTTTCAACTGAAATGTGAATTCAGTCAGTGCTACTATACGGATCAGAGAGTTGCACTGCGCGTCATAAAGAGCATCTCAAACAAGCTACGGACCTTCATTAACAGCTGTTTTCGCTCATTGCCACTCAAGATCAGATGGCCGGCCAGAAAAGATCAGAAACAGGAAGGGATCTCTGGTAATGAGCGAACCAACCCAACAGGAACCAATTGTGCGAGAAATATGCTGGAAGAAATGGAGGTGGATTGACCATACTCTGAGAAAACAAACCATCAATTGACATCACTAGACAAGCCTTTGAGTGGAACCCGAAAGGAGAGCGCCGAGTTGGTCGTCCAAGGGGGACTTGGAGGAGGTGATGTGAAGAGGAGATGAAAGCATGTGGGCAGACTTGGAGCGGAGTGAAAACGTTGGCAGAAAATCGAACGCAATAGAGATGCTCGGTTGAAGTCCTCTAGGAATTAAAGGATATAATAATAATAATATAGGTGTTCAGTTTCTTTATACTGTTGTTTGATTGCTGCATGTATCACATTTCTTGGTTCTCAAACTGTGTCACTAATAGCTAGCTGACGTAATTTCTGACCTTTGTCCTTAAATTATTCATCATTTTGCTGTACAGGAAATCTTAGCCAATGGTTATCTCGTACGCATGAGAGAAGCACCACCAACTCAATGCACAGAACATAATTTTTTCGAAGATAATCATGACAGTGAGAAACTGATGATGAACGGTGATCACAAAGTATCAATGACTAAGTCGGAGTGTAATAAAATTTCCAATGGACATCAATGTAAATGGCCATCTCCATCAGCTTATTTTTATTGTAAACAGTGTAATAAACTTTTATGCACTGAATGCAGTGGACAGTTTTTAATGTCATCTAGGAGTAATACTCATGGAAGTCATCTGATCTTACCCCTTGACACTGTAATACATGAAACTAAAAGTGAAATCAGTGAACAGATTGATCGTGTTAAACGGAAAAATAAACATTTTGAAGTAAGTTTTATTGAAGTTTTAGTTATAGACTGTGCATACCTCTTTTAAGCGATCAGTAGTTATTTTCATATGCTTCTATGTAAAGCCATATGGATAATTTGTCCTGATCATTGAGTTATACATTGATATTCTAGCGGCCTTTGGACACTTTCTGAGAGTATTTGAAAGAAATTTAAGTGCTATTATTTCCTAATCACTTAGTACCAATTCGAAAGTCAGTTCAGTAGTAGGATTCTCCTCAGCAACGCAACTAGGGGTCTGGGATTAGTTCCCGGCCGACGTACTTCTAAGCCTGAACTTATAGTAAATCTGGTAAAGACGTAAGGCTGGAGGTGAGACCAGCAACCCCACCCTATAAAATAGCAACACCACTGCTACTAAAACTTTGAAGATCATTCTTGAGGACCTATTTTTCACATGGAATACAAAGGAACAAGAAAAACCTAAATCGAAGGAACCTCTGAATGTGCGAATATATTCACTGGTTAATCAATCGGTCCTTTACCTTTCATGACTGAGACATGGTTAGAATTTGGGTACAGTGTCAACTTACAATTCAGTGTTACTTGGTTTGTTAAGTATGTATATGGTAATAATATCCTCGCCGCAAAAAGACACTAACAAATGAATACATGTAATGCATTTACTACAGAATAGAAATTAGTAGATAAAGGAAGTTGGAGTTCAAATATAGTTGTAGGAAACTAAGAAATTCCACTGTCGAGACTTCGGACACTTATCTAACTGACACAGAAGACACGACTGTCAGTGACTTCATTCTCAAGTGTACTGCCGTAACATTCAGACTAACTTGCTTCATAGTTATTCCTCTTTACTGTAACGTGAATGATTTAATTTAGAGAACTAGTGAGGATTCTAATGAAGATGAATCCGTCTGCAACAATAAGAACTAAGTAAAAATTGCTTGCTATAACTTAAATATAAGTGAAATACTGTGAACAGCATCAGGGGATACATAGATGACATTAGAATCTGTCTAATATTCAGTGGAATGCAAAATAATATTTAACCATGTGGATATTCAAAAGTACTAATCTAAGTCACATGGAAAGGCTATTATTTTCATTTAAGAATATACCATTAAATGTTGGTTGTCTATCCTTAGAAGTGAGGATAGGAGTATGACAAGGCTGGCTGTCTGCATACTATCTCCAATGATTTTCCTGACTGAGATAGACTGGATGATCCGAAAGACAGCAGGCAACAAGGAAACAGGCATAAAATGGACCCACACAACAAACTTGGAGGATCTGGACTTCACCGATGATATATGTCTGATTTAGATATGATAGAGAAGATTTGTAGCTCAGGTGGATGATTTTGATGTGCTCTGAGCTTAGCTCAGAGAACAAAACCACATCAAAATATGTCTGATTTCCTTTAAACTGGAAGATATGCAAGTGAGAAGCAACAAGTTGGCAGAAGAAGCATCAAAGATAGACCTTCAGGTGAACATAAAGAAAACAGAAGTGAAGATGAAGATTCTTGGCCAAAAGCAACAGTAACACCAACAACAGCAGACATCAATCAGCATAAATGGGAGAAACTTGAAAGAAGCGACCTCCTTCACCTACTTACCTGGGAAGTATCGTTCCATCTACAGGAGCAGGAAAAATAAGATCTGGATTTTCAACTCCAATGTTGAGTCAGTGCTACTTGCTATGAGGATCAGAGACTTGGCGCGTCACGAAGGGCCATTCGAGCAAACTACACATCTTCATCAACAGTTGTCTTCGCTCAATACTACTCTAGATCAGATGGCCGGCCAGAAAAGATCAGAAATAGGGAGGGTTCTCTGGCAATGAGCGAACCAACCCAACAGGAAACAATTGTGCGAGAAATATGCAGGAAGAAATGGAGGTGGATTGACCATACTCTGAGAAAACAAATCATCGAGTGACATAACACGCCAGGCTCTCTCTCTCAAATAGAACCTGAATGGGAAGCGGCGAGTTGGTCGTCCGTGAGAGGATGACATGGAGGAGGTCATGTGAAGAGGAGATGAAAACATGTGGGTAGACGTGGAGTCAGGTGAAAACATTTGCAGAGAACCGAATGCAATGGAAACGTGAGGCTGAAGTCCTATGCTCCTCTAGGAATTAAAGGAAAGAATAATATAACATATATGAAACTTAGAACTAAAATTCACTGCAGTTATAAATGAATTAACAATAATACCTATTGTATAGTGGGCACAGCTAGTGAAAGGTTTCCAGTTAACAGGTAACAAGTTAAATCAACTTTTTATCCGCTATTCCATTGTAGGATAAAGTCCACCTTAATCGGAATGCCACTAGTGGCTTTATCTAAGTGTCCACATACTAATCCTGCATTAAAATAGCAGTTGACTTACTCAACCCACCGACTCAAAAATAAAGAATTCCCGAAGTTGAGATCACAGTTAATTATTTATTTTGTTTTTCTTAAATTAAAATAGGATTATTTAAATCATCTTGTACAATATGGTCATGAACTTAATCAAGCAAAAATGAATATCCTTCAACAAATTCAAGGTAGATCTGATCAACTTAAACAAAAAATTGACCAGATAGCTCAGAAACTTATCAGTCAACTTGATAAACAAATTCAAGATGAAATGAAATTGATTGATGGATGTGCATGGTCTTTATATCCGCTAATTGTTCAATGTGAAGTAGCCAGTAGATATGCTAATGCTCTGAAAGACTATGGAAGGTTAGTAGCATTTATGGTATCTGGAGTGTCTTAGGATAAAACTTATCTATATTGGAATAATGGATAGAATATCAGTAATCATGTTGTAGAATTAATAGATAGCAATCAACTGTAATGTCGTTAGTGTAAATCAACTAATGAAAAGTTTCCACCACAGGATTAAGACTAAAAATTAGTCATGGAATATGTTTATTAGTTTAACCGATTGAATATCGAAGGAGGGGTCTGTAGGAGCTTGATTAAACTCACAAAATGCTCTTCCTCCAATCTCTAGACATTATTTAGTGAAAGTATCAGGTATTAGTGCGAAAAACGTTAACTACAAACAGCTACTAAGTTTGGAAACAAACAATGTTTACACTAATGTGTTGTTTTCAATTTTAGCAATTACATTCTTAAAATAATAGTTCATGGAGGATTTTATCATGAGCTGACATCAGTGAGAGAACCATTAGGAAACCTGGATGTACTGGACACCTGTTTCGTCCTAGTTTGGGACTCTTCAGCAAGTCACTAGTGGCTTAATAGTCTACGAGCTAGCTTGTAACCAGAAGGTTCTGCGTTTGAACCCTGGTGGTGGGTGGGTGCTGATGAAGAGTCCCAAAATAGGACCAGACAACTGTCAAGTACTCCCAGGTTTTCCAATGGTTCTCTAGCTGATCTCAGCTTATGATGAAATCCTCCAACCAATCAAACAATAATCCTTACAAAACCAATACTTGACTTCACTTCACTCAATGCAGTACCTAGGGATGCTACTAGAGAGATGTTCTCGTTGTAAGTGATTTTGTGTGCATATATGCATGAATGGTACTAATTGACCACTAGATATTAACCACAATTATGCTATCTAGTCGTCTACATTCGTCAAGTCTGGTAAAACTTTACTACTCCGCAGTAGTACCTCTTAGAAGGATCAAAAAAACTTTCTTACTACACAATACACTACTCACTGATTATAGTAGTATATTAAGAATAGCTGAAATTAATTTTTGGCTAGGTATATTGAGTCCATAGTTGTTAACAGTTTTTTTCTGTCATCACAAAAGTTAGCTGACAGAAATCATAGAACATAATGCATGATATTAAGTAGTTACTGAATTACTTGGTCACTGACGTATTACTGAAAAAAACAAGATAAGTAATTCACTAATACTTCGATGACAAAACTTATCATTGTGTGTAAACTATTGAAATATAATTATACTTTACTTCGATGACGGTTAATCATGAATTAAAAAGTTACTGATTACTCGTCCACATAAACCACTTGTACACGTTTTTGTGCTTTGGCTAACGATATTTTCTCATTTAAGCCACTCTAGGTGAAACCTTGACATAGATGTTTTCAAAATAATGAAACACACTGTGTTCAATGGTTGCAAGGGTGGTCCTTTTTAAACCGTGATGATTCACGTAGGTAATGTCTAAACTGTTAATGCATTCAATCAGTTGATTATTACACACACCTTAAGTGATTTGGACCTGCTGAGTTTTAAGTGTAAGTTAGAAAAACAGAAGTATTTGAATTTTGTGCAAAGAAATTAATTTGAGCACTGACTTCAATTACTTTTCTGGGGCTGTGGCTCATTGGTTATGGCTGTTGGCTTCCAACTACCGGTCTCGAACCCCACTCTACCTACTGAGGTTCGGGCAGCCAGGTAGTATTATCAGCCCTCATACAATAAGTGTAGCCCATTTCCAGCCGTATAAATATGAAAGTGGTCACACTTAATGACAGCACAAAGAGGGAGCTAGCGATGTGCAGGCATTCACTCCTGAAGAACAGTGATGTTGCGCCATATTACATGAATGCGTTAAAACAAAAGTTCAAACATTCAAGGTGCACTACAAGTAACATCTTTACTGTTGTTGATTACTTATTTGCATATTTATCTCTACTGCTGGTTATTCAAGCATTAATAAAATTTAAAATCTCATATTCCGGCTAAAGCAGATGTTTAAATTAATAAAAAAGAATAAATTTCAATGTTTGTTTGGCAGTTTTTGACACTTTATATATCTCACGCATTCAGTACAGTTTTGAAACTTGCAAACAAGCATAATAATATACCTAGAAGTAGTTTCTAGCTTATGGAAAAGTTTATACTTCAACAATTATTATGCTAATAAACTCGGTAGATATACTGTGCTGATTACTGTCTAATAACTAGATATGTGTATTCCGAGTTGTTTTCGCTTTTATCAGTTTGATGACACTTGTAGACTGGAGTTTCGCATACGGCTATCATTAGGAATAGACTGTCATTACCACTTTACAACCGCTTTAACAGTGTGTTCAATCATTGGCTATGCAACACCATCTGTTCTTGTCATTTAAAATATTTATTGAAAAATATGTTGACAATTTGTTTAACTTGAAATAAAATTCAACAGGAGTTTTATTTCTATACCCCCTATTTTATTAGATTCAGAATCCAGAGAAGTGTCTAGTTGTTTGTATTAATATTCATGCATTTTTAGAGAAGACAATCTTAATCTCTTTCAGGTTTAGGCACGGACTGATGTCAGTTAAAGAACCATTGAAAACCAGGGTTACCGGATATCCGTTTAGTCCAGTTTGGGACTCTTTGACAGTACTCATCGTGACCCCGCCAATAGAGATCAAACCCAAAATCTTCAGGTTACAAGGCCAAACATGCTAACTATTTAGCTACTTAGGCCGAAATCCGCTGGATTGTAGATTTTAACTTCTTTCATTTTGCGATTTCAGTGTGACTACCAACCAATGTCATCGGTGAGTGAGTGTTCTTACTCCCGACTGAGTGAACCCCATCGGTCACGACTTCTCACTAGAAATTCAGGCAGCTGTGTCCTCTAACCAGTCACTGGTGGGCATCAGATTAATTTTCACGATTTCGTATGTTATAAGCTTGGCTGGTGATCGCGCTGAAATCGAGAACTGACTGAAGTTATAGATCATGGACTATTGGATTTCGGTCTAAGTAGCTAAATAGTCAGCATGTTTGGCCTTGTAACCGGAAGATACTGAGTTCGATCCCTAGTGGTGAGGTCATGGGTGCGTTCTGATGGAGAGTCTCAAAATAAAACGAAACTACTGTCCAGTATTCCCTGGTCTTTTTCAATGATTCTTTAACTAATATCAATCCGTGATCAAACTTGAAACAAATCAAATACCTGCAAACTAACTCTAGAAAATTTTAATTTGAATATGTGGTAATTTTAAACAGGAAACATATCCCAAGATTTCGATGTAGCAGAACTTCTGGGGACTATCTGTTCTGTTTTTGTGTAACCTGGAAGTCTGTGAACACTGTAAAAACAGAATACAAGGGCCAGGCAACAGATAGTTTATTAAGGAAATCAACACATTTATAGATTTTCATAATTATTATTATAGATTATCGTTAGCAGACAAACACAGTTTTCTGATTGGTTGTTTGTCACTGAAAGTTAATCTTTCATCTCTTTGTGGCTATTTCTTGAATGTTCGATTATCCATATGCTAATTGTATCCATCTACGCAAAGTCTGTTGTGCTTGGTTGTTGAATCAGTCTTTATTCTTATTTTTCTCACCAACAATATTCGGGAAGTAAACATTGATGTAAATTACTGTCTACCAATTTGTCTAACAGCCAGCTCTCACCACAACACAAATTCATCGAACTGGTTGAATCCTTAAGCGTTTGAAATGTTACAATACCAGGTTCTAGTAAGTGTATAGTCGGTAAGCGAATCGGAGGAAGTTCGACTACAAGTAGGTCTGAATAGGAAGCTGATTGTTTCTGTAAGTTAATAACGAAGATAATCAAAAAGTGTATTGACAACTTATATTTTGTTGAACGAAAGGTAGCTATCAGAATTAATTTGCCAAAAAGATGACAGTTTAATTTGAATCAATATGTTTCAGATTCAATTCTTACCCGGTAGTGGAATATATATGAATTGATGAAAGCAAGATACAGTTTATCTTAGTGTTAACGTCTTCCTAATTTAGTCACGAATCGTTTGGTTTCATACAGTGATTTTTATTATACAATCTTTTCCAAATCAGTCAATAAATAACAGTGTTTTATTGACACAACTTTACTTTGCTTTTGTTTTCAGACCGGAAGAGATACTTCTTTGCTTATCTCAAGTGACGGAACAACTACAATTTTTACAACGAGAAAAAATTGAATATCTCAAAGGTAAATTTAACACTATTTGTTTAACAGGAACAGGATGAAAGTGACAATCTATTTTCAGAAATTCTATAGTCCAAAGTGATATAAGCATAGAACTTGAGCACTGTGGTAGACTATAACTCCATTACGGATAAGATTTTATTTTATTTTGATAAATCACACACAGTGTTGTTGCACAGTAAAATTAACTGTTCACCACATTTCGAGCACAATTTATCGCTGCTCATAATCATATCAAGGCACTACTCACACAACTTTTGCTTCATTTATATACATGACTGAAATTCATGATTAGACATTTGAATGAAAATCAATATTAAGATAAAGTACATTAAGAAATAATATTAGTGTTATCAATCAAATACAATCAAATCGGAAATAATAAAAATAAGTAACTTGTTGGAATGTTACAGAGACGAGGTCTGTAGACTAAAGGACCCGATGGACCCAATCAAACAAAATAATATAATTGACAAATACCTTGCAATCACTGTGAGTTAAGTCAACTACGCAGGTCAAACTAATAGATGGGTGGGGAGTAGTGAGATTGTCAGAACATGCATGCATTAACACACAACCATACAACAGGGTGGTTGGGGATTAAAATACTAAGAAGTTATATAGGCAGGTGGAGAGAGAGATTGATTATCCCTGTTCATCTAGTCAACACCCAACACATGCAATAGGATTCAGTGACTCATCACTCATACCCGAAATATGGAAAATACTACTACCAATCAAATCAAGCTGCGGCAAATAATGGAATTCTATAAATGAAGTTAGAAATTTGTGTGACTACCTTGATATGATTATGAGCAGTAATAAATTGTGCTCGAAACGTCATCAGTAAACATTACTGTATTACACTGTGAGACTTTATCAAAACAAAATTTACCCATAATGGAATTACACTCTACCGCATTGCACAAGTTTTATCCTTATATCAATAAACTGAACATTCATACATCACTGACACCAACAGCCAGTGAATTATTGTGCATTACTACTGCAAATAATTTTCTAGCCTCCTCTGCTTTTACTCTACAATGCCAATCGGAAAAGAAAATGGCATGGGATTCGTAGCAAAACTTCTGAATATAATGGTTGGTGAAAATTCCCTATGTCGCTAATTTATACACCTCTCTGATTTAGCGCCTCATTTGCAATATCATATTTGTTCGTCATTAAACTTCAAATATAAGAATAACTGAAGTCATAAAATAGCTTTTCTCATATACTTTCAGCAAATATGTCTGAGTCGTAAAGTAATGTAAAACAATCTGAACGACTGTTGGAAAAACAAGTTGGTTCTTGAAAAGCGATGAGTTATGACCGTTACCAGTCCATTCTGAAACTATCATTTGTGGTTGCTTCTCCATCACAGATTCAAATTATGTCGGAATTTATTGTTATGTCATGAAAACAAATTATTGAGACCGAAGAAGCTGTCAATATCTCTCTTATACTGACTTTCATATAAGATATGATCACATTTCATAGGCTTCCGCTGTTAAAATATTGTAGTGTATCCAAGGAATAGCTATAAATAAGCTTTCCATTTGATTACGAAGTATGTAATAAAGTCATACTAGTTAATATATTTCTTTAAAATATTGATGTTACTTATAAATTTTTAAGTAGCAAAATAATTGGATGGATAATTGCAGTGACGTCCTGAGAGTTGAACTTATATCCACTTTACCTTCATTTTCATTTGAGTTCTAAAGAATTAGATTCTTTTAGAAAGATTAAAGAAGATTAAAAAGTGACTATTAAAAGCATGATGATAAGAAATACAACAAAAACTTAACCTTCTAATGTATATAAGATAACTAGCACCAAAATAATTAGTGTGAAGTAGACAAGCTAATTTACCATTTACTTCCATCCGATCATTACTTCCCGATAACCTGAAGAATAAGACCCTTCATTTGACCAACTCTGTGCAAGCACAACTGTTCACCCGGCCCTATGGGTTCTACACAAAATTGCTAGTAAAATCTTGATTTCAGTATTTCAGAATCAATTGATAGGATACCAGAAGTACTTCAAATTGTATCTACCAATTCAACTGTGCTTGTGGAGCGAGTTATATTGGCCGTTTTCTAGGAACTTGATTTTTCGTGCTCGAGAAAATCTTTCACTATGGCTAAGTAAAGGTGTAGTTAAAACCATTAACAGTTCGATATTGGACCATCTGGTGCAAACCGGCCACAAAGCCAGCCAGCGTGGAAGAATCCTTCACTATCATCTACCGAGTGCTTAATAAACTGTCAAAATCATCGAAACACCGCATGCTCCAAACAGCAGAGGCTATTGCGATTCGCCTCAAAAAACCAGTGCTCTGTGTTCAAAAGAAGCAAGTCCAGCCCCTACTACTGCCTTGGCCTTCAGTAGAGACTATAAATTCATGAATTTGTAATATTATCTTTCCTAATATTTCTGACATTCAGCTTATTTTTATGTTCATGCTATTGAGCTGTAATCTATCAGTATTTTTGATTCGATTTTATTCAAACATTAATGTTGTTCATAACGCATATTCATTCATTCCCTATGATGTATATACAACTGTAGAGCCTGATGATGAATTTATCGAAAAGAGTACTCTTTGTTCAGTACCAGTCTTTTGAAGAATTATTTAGATTTGTTAGTAGAGTGTATACTTTACCATGATACAAATTCCCTTCTCCTCGAAATAGGAGTCTGGGGCAATCATTTTAAGACATGAGTTTCTTAAATGATTGTGTATGAAGCTGTTTCAAATTTTGCCAGGAATTAGTGTGGTACCTTCACAATATAGTGACATTTTGGTTCTTATTCCTTGGCTTATTTTTCAGTTATCCAGAAAGGTTTCAGCCTGAGTTTCTAGTGATTTCATCACAGTTTTGATCACGAACTGAAATCAGTTAGAAAACCATTGTGAAGCAGGAAAAGGTGGACGGCTGTCTGGTCACTGTTTGTAATTATTCAACAACATGCACCCTTCACTCCATCAGGGATCGAAGTTATGGTGTTCAGCCTCGACGATTCAGCTACTGAGAAGGATTTCAGTGGACCATGAATTTTAACTTCTGACAATTCGCGGCATATTGTGCAACCACCAGACAATATTACTGGCGAGTACTTGACCTCACACCCAACTTGGTGGACCCCCTCAGATCACTTATTTCTTAAGAACTTTAGGCAACTTATTCTTGTATCAAGTCAGGAGTCAGCACTAGATTAATTTCCGAGTGTTAGTTTGCAGAGGGCTTGATTTATTTCAGTTTGGATCAAGAATTGACTCCAGGTAGAGAACCAATAGAAGCTTAGGAGTACTGGACAATTCTTTCGTCCTTGTTTCATTAATTTATACTTTGTATTGTTTAAGATTTCTATGCGAAATGTCTCATCATCACGGTGTTTTGTTTTGATAAAGGTATGAATAGTAACCGTTTTACAGTTCATACACAGTTTATTATCACTATAACTTTACTTTTACACTAATTTTTTTTAGTTCATATAAAGCCACACTTTAAAGTTGGTAATTACAATTACAATGAAAATGAAACAGAAACCACTAACCAATCATTCAATTCATCTTATCTATTTGGAACAATTGAATATGATAAATTTGTTGAAGAATTTATAAAAAATGAAGTTAATAATGCTAATAAAAATAAGACAAATCAATATAATGAACTGAAACTGGAATTGGATAGTTCATATTTAAATATTGATCATATATCAGTCGGCGTAAACACTAGTCCAAGAGAAATGACTTCAATATCCAGTTACAATCTTGCCGACAGATTTAATAATATTCATAGTAACAGAAATAATGACTCAAGAGGATTTAATTCTGAGTGAGCAATTTTATTTCATACAATTTTTTTATTAAAAAAAACAGAGTTTTATTTTAATTGAACTTGAGGTTTTTCCATCGACTGATTGGACCGAAGTGCTCGGCTTCAGGTTGACATGTCGGCTTCTTGTGCAGATGCTTCGACGATATTTGGTTATGTAACTCGAAGTCAATCGGTGAATGGTGACTAGCAGTGGAATCCAGGACAACGCGCATTTCGTCCCATTTGGGACTCCTCACTGCGAGGTACCTGCATATCCCAGTGAATGATGATGTTCCCACCGAGGCTTGAACCCAGTACCCATAGTTTCAAACGCCAAAGCGCTATCCACTAAACCACTTGGGCCACGAGAGCCACCTCTTGTGCAACGGGTCATATTAATTTTTAAATGAATTTTTGATTTTCAAGTCGATTGATTGGACCGAAGTGGTCGGCCTCAGGTTGACATGTCGGCTTCTTGTGCAGATGCTTTGACGGGAAAATCTCAAATTCAGTTTAAATTAATATGACCCATTACACAAGAGGTGGCTCTCGTGGTCCAAGTGTTCCAGCCGATAATGCTGTGGCGTTTGAAACTAAGGGCAGTGGGTTCGAGTCTCGGTGGGAACATCATCACTCCCTGGGAAATGCAGGTACATCTGCTGGCTGAGGAGTCCCAAATAGGACGAAATGCGCGTTGTCCTGGATTCCACTGCTAGTCACCATCCACAAATTAAAAACAGAGTTTTGTTTAATACTGGCATCCCTTGAATATTTAGCATACTGATAGCCATGTTTTAATATTCATTTTGTTCACTGATTCAAAGATTTCAAGGTAAAAACCCACCTCATCTGTTTCACAGATAAAATATAGCTTGAACTAAAGTAAAAACCATTTACCAAGAAAATCTTACTGTAGAAAGAAAACAAAAACTACAGAGAAATTCCACAATCAAAATGATAAATCGTTACTACCGGGATTTAAATAAACAAATTCACAATTTGCAGAGTTCGAGGAGTTGAAATCTCACCACAGTTTCTTTTGAAAATCAAAATTATTTAGATCACAATGCATGATCTGCTTCATATCACAAATTGTAATCATCAAGAAAACAAGTATAAATGAATAAAAATTGAACCGCCGCTTCTGTCATTTGGGGCAGATCTTAGCAGCGATACACCCAGTCTTGCTCAGCTAACACAGTCTAAAGATCACCTCAGTCTAACAAGTAACCTTTACTAGTGCGTCGGTAGCACAGTGGTTAGGACTCTCGCCGACCATACACATGGTCCGAGGTTCGACCCCCTGCCGACGCACAACTGATATCTATGGTCGGGCTGCGAAATTTTGGCTACCGATATCCATGCTGAAAATTCCATACTTGTACCAAAAATACAGTGTGGAATCAAGCTGTAATCAAAAATAAAAAATAAATAAAATGGTTGGTCTAAATGCCATGCAACTATTCATCTCATTCAGATAGTGGAAAATACCCATTAGGACATTATAGAAAGAAGAGAACACCAAGCTCAGGAAAAACAACTTTTCGGCGATTTCATTCTCAAAAGCAGTTGTACAATCGCAATCAAATACATTATTTTACATAGATACAATTTTTTTATTTCATTCCACATAATTACGAAGGAGAATAAAAAGGCGACAATTATTTTCAACTAGATATGGTTTACAAGGAGCTTAGGAACAAAATTACACAGGATTAGAAGGAATTACAGATGTAATTTAATAATTCCCATTGTAGCATTAAGAACACAATTTTCAGCGAAGAGACTCTTTTCAACGAATTTATTATCAAGCTGTACAATCGTATATATATGGTTTTATAAAGAAATTATATCCGGTGAGGGAATTAGGTCAAAGGTGTAAATACATGAAATAATAATAGTATGAAATAAATTTAAAATATTTGTGATTAGGTTCATAGTTTAAGTCAAGTGGAACAATAATTAATGTCATATATAAGATAATACATCAGGTGTATAGATTTTGGGGAGAGGCATATAATTGTAAGATTAATAGACGAATGTAAAATGTTACGTAACATGGTGTGAAATTTGATAACATAGAATTTAATATTGTAAAAATAAAGATAAAAAGTATACACATGAATAATTTTTGGTTTAAAATGTCAAGTAGATCAAGTGGAAAAGATTCAGAATGAGAGTCGTAATAATAATATAATAATAATAATAATAATAATAATAATAATCGAAGTAATAAGGGAAAAGTACATAAAATAATAAAATAAATAAATGTCTATCCCTCTACGGCCAAGGCAGCAGTAGGGATTGTACATACTTCTTTTGTACACAAAGGTCTGGCTTAAAGTCATGAATTGCCAAGGCCTCAGCTGTCTTTAGAAGTCTGTAACGAAGAAAACGCGGGAAGTTGGCATGAATTCTATATATGACCTTGAAATCATGGTCAGGGTTGACCGAGTGACAGGAGTCGATGAGGTGTTCTAAGATAGAGCTTCGCACACATTTCCTTTCTCCCTTGTAAAACCAAGCTGGAATATGTTCTCGTATCCGTGTGGAGAGCATTCTCTGACTACGGCCAATGTACCTTGCTCCACAAGAGCAGGTGAACTGGTAGATGCACATGGAGGCGGTCAGACGGGGGAGCTTATCTTTTACAGAGGTAGAGAACAGTTTGCGGCTCGTGAACGTCATATGTAATCTAGCTGCAGGGAACGTTTTACTAACTGATTTAGAAAGACGATTTTTGAGCATATCAGAAGCTTGATCTCCTTTGAATTCCAAGTTCACGAATAGGGTTTTCTTTGGAACTGAGTCAGTGACCAGTTTAGACTGCTTATCTTTCATGTTGCTGTCAATAAATCGGTTAGGGTAACCGTTTTCTGCGAGTGTGGCTTTCAGGAAGTCAAGTTCTGAGTCGACGCAATCAGAACTACAAATTTTCCTTATCCTAAAGCAGAGTGAATGGATTAAATTCCTTTTCCTGGAAATAGGCACCCAACTGTAAAAATTAGTTAGTTGTCCGTTCCATGTACGTTTCCGGTGGATCGATCTCTTGAGAGATCCGTCATTCCGTCTGCTAAGGCACACATCAAGAAACGGAATACTTAGTTCCGATTCCTTTTCTATGGTGAATTGTAAAGAAGGATGGCAGTTGTTGAAGGCGAACAAGACATCATCAAGAACTACGTTCTTATCGCAGATGACGAAAGTGTCGTCTACGTATCTTTTATAAATGTCAAAATGCCCGATGGTTTGACTAAGTTGAGAATTTTCCAGCTTTGCCATAAAACAATCAGCTAACAAAGGACCCAGTGGTGATCCCATGGCAATGCCATCTCTCTGTCTATAGATCTCATTGTTGAAGGTGAACTGAACATTCAACGTGCATCTCAATAAAAGTTCTTTGAGGTGGATTGTCGGTAAACCTATTTCCAAACCATGTGTATCAATATACTCACATAAATAGCTAACAGTTTCCATGAGAGGAACATTGGTAAATAGCGACGTGACATCTAATGAGAACAGGACTTTTTCTGAGACATTAAAATCTTTAATACTATCAATAAATTTAAACGTATCATCAATGGAAAACTTAGATACTTGCCTTCTGACTGGTTCCAATATTTCGGCTAGCCATTGAGCGATTCCGTGATAAGGAGAGCCCGCCATATCGAGGATTGGACGGAGGGGTAATCCTGTCTTATGTATTTTTGGTAGTCCATACAAACGTGGTATAATGGAGCCTACTGGTCTGATGCGTTCGTATATTTCTGACGATATTGCTGACTTATTCCTCATATTCTTTAAGACATCAGTCAGTTGATTTTCAATTAAATGTGTCTTGTTCTTTTCACCGTCGGGTTTGGCGAATTTCGTTTGGTCAGAAAGGATCGCTGAGATTTTATCATTATAATCTTGGCGATTCATAACTACGACACCCCCACCTTTGTCTGGACGGCATATGATAATATCATCATTCTTCTCTAGCTCTTTCAGTTGGTCTATATGCTCTTTAGTCAGAAGATTATTCGAGCTAGGTTTTGAACTAGTATACTGATGACAGCAATCAAGAACTGTGGATTTAAAGTATTGGAATTCCTCAGGTGATGTGGGTGTAAGATCGTTGGTCTGATTAATAAGATTTTCGAATTGCACTTGAGTATGCAGTCTGTTGACTTTGGATGAACTGTTGCAGAATTTGGGGCCCAGTGATAGGGCTTGTAGTTGAATTTCAGAAAGAGTGACGGAGGAATAATTAAATACATATTTATTGGGGTCAGTCGGGAATCGCTTTTCTGCTAATACCTGCTTGAGACTGTCAAGATGCTTGAGGTTAGCAGACTGGGACTGTTTTTCAATGACACAAGAAACGTATTCCTCGAATTGCCGGCGTTCATCAGTCGAAAGTTCAAACAGAACATGACTTCTCAGAGTTATGTTCCTGTTTAATTCTACCACACGAGAACTGATTGCATCAATATGATTAAGTGTGTGGCGCTTTAATGTTTTGGAATTAGGACATATACGGCTACGTCTAAGCGCTTTCCAAAATAAATTAGGATATTCATTTTTACTGATACAGCTTTCAAGAAAGTTAATCTCGGATTTCACTAACGCAAGTTTGACAGAATACCGTAGGAAACCATTAAGTTCCTTCATCGTCATTGGGTCTTTGCATTTTTTCAATAATTTAATAATTCCCATTGTAGCATTAAGAACACAATTTTCAGCGAAGAGACTCTTTTCAACGAATTTATTATCAAGCTGTACAATCGTATATATATGGTTTTATAAAGAAATTATATCCGGTGAGGGAATTAGGTCAAAGGTGTAAATACATGAAATAATAATAGTATGAAATAAATTTAAAATATTTGTGATTAGGTTCATAGTTTAAGTCAAGTGGAACAATAATTAATGTCATATATAAGATAATACATCAGGTGTATAGATTTTGGGGAGAGGCATATAATTGTAAGATTAATAGACGAATGTAAAATGTTACGTAACATGGTGTGAAA